AAGTTACAACTCCTCAGATGCTTTCAATTCGTTTTTTGCTGCTAAAAGATGATAAAATGAAGTATAAAGCACCTTGTGAAGTCACAGCATCTGCCCTCACACCGGACTTAACATCAGGAGGTRTATCCTGAACAGATTTTCTTTTTCAGTCCCAGGAGCGTGGGATGGAAGGGTTCCTGACTGGCACTTCCAGCATCGCTCCCTGGAGGCCTCCTTCATGGGGCTCTCCATGGGAAGAGCTGGTATTCCTCCTAGCCTTGCTTCATTGTCAATCTCACTTCAAAACCAACTTTTCCCTTGTGTTGTCACAGTGACAAACTTGACTAAGTGGATACACAATACAAAAGTAAGCATGACACTGATAACAGTGAGGTTTCAGGATGATCCATTATATTTGAGATTAAATCTTAAGACTTATCACTGTCATTCTTCAAAAGCATTTTTAGTCAAAATGAGATAGTGCAATAAAGCTGTTATTTAGCACCAGCATGTCACTGCAGGCTTTGCTTCAGGTTTCAGGATAATTCCGTTATCAGGGGGTTGACTAAGCATTAATGGTTTGTGGCTCTTAAGCTTATGAGCCAAGGTCATAAATATAGCTTCCACATGGTCATTATCATTGGGGTTTTTAGCAGAGGTTTCAAACAAAGGCATACTGTGTGTGTCAGCAAATTTCTGTGCCAAGTCTGTGGGTACCTGAATGGCACTTCTCAAGTCACATTTATTTCCAACGAGAATCCGTGGTATATCATTTGCCAGCAAATGCTGTTTGCATTCCTCGATCCAAGACGGCAGGCTGTGAAAACTAGCCATGTTGGTCATGTCATACACGAAGACGACAGCGTGCACATTTCTGTAGTAGTGCTGTACCATGCTCTTCCTGAACCGCTCTTGTCCTGCCGTGTCCCACAACTGGATCTTAAAATGGAAAAAAAAAAAAAGAAAGAAAAAGAAAAACAGAAAGTCTGTCAAGAAATGTCCTCATTAATGCGTGGTCTCTGGGAACACCCAATTCGCGATGCCTGACTGCTCTCTTCTGGAGCCATCCAGTGTGGCCTCTGGGATCCAGATTGCACGACACTAGCAGAGTACCCCACAATTAAATCCCAGTACAAGTGGCASGACAAATATTTCCATTTGGCATTTTCTAAATTTCATTACATCAAATTTGCTCTGATAAGAATCATACCTCAAAAATTTATTTTAAAATGTTAAGAGAAAAATATATTGGGTTTTAACAAACACTTAACTCCTATAAATTTGGTTATTGTATGCTCCTCTGTACCTTTCCTAGTCTAACTTAAAATATTTAGACTTAAGAAACATGGTGATAAGAGGTCCAACCCTCAAACCAACACACATACACATTCTGTAAGGTATGGGTCACTTGAAAATTTTAAAGTGCTAAACACTCAAATTATCTAATTATCTAATTCTAAACATTTCTTTCAACAAAACTATCTCAGTATCTCCTAGTGGGAACACGGAAGGGATCCAGGGCAATGATGTCCATGGCCAAATGTAAGCCATATCATGATTCACGTGAAACAATGAATAAAACAAAGTGAAACAATGAATAAAACAAAGTTAAATGCCGAGGGTACCTGTCATGCAGATTTACTTAGATAACTTTATACTGAAAGATTTGCATGACATCTAGACAGAGTAAGCGCGGAAAGCCTGAACTAGTAATTTCTCACACAGTGATGTGGAAATAGAAGGAAACCACCTGAGGGGACACCGTACATGGCCAAAATGTAGATTAGAAGGTATGAACTCCTCAGAATTTGCCCGCTGGTATGAATGGTAAGTCCTTTTACTTTTGTTCCAGGCAAAAACAAAAGATACTATACAATCTTGATTTCCTGTGTTCTCCTAGCACTGGGAGGTGGGGGTGATATAATTCTAGCCAATTTGWAGATAGTCCTCTCATTATGGGTTTCCAGGAAAACTACTGCTTTTATGATTAAAAAAAAAGGGGGGGGGGMATTTGGGCCATGMATGGTGGTGCACACCTGTAATTGCAGCAACTTGGGAGGTTGAGGCAGGGAATCTCAAGCTTGAGGCCAGCCTCAGCAAATTAGTGAGACCCTGTCTAAAAATAAAAAAAATAAAAGGGCTGGGGATGTGGCTGAGTAGTTAAGTGTCCCTGGGTTCAAACCCCATTTTACCCCCTGCCAAAAAAAAAAAAAAAAGAAGAAGAAGAAGAAGAAGAAGAAGAAAGAGCATTTAGCACCGTCTCCTGCTCCTCTCTTACCCTTTCCCTTTCTGCCTGGCATGGGATACAATGCCTGGAGATACAGCAGCCATCCTATGCCATGAAGCCAGACCCACAAGAAAGGCACAGCAGAAGCATAAAGCTAACTCCCAGCTGGCGGGTGCCATCAGATGGACCTCTGGTATCCTGAGTACATGACAAAAGCAAGACCTCATATGGATAAACTGCACAGCTGAATTTCTCTTCCATGTGGCTGAATACCATCCAAGTATTACTTCCTATATACCACTTGAAACCTATGCTCCTCACACTCACATAAATCAGAAAGCACAAAGTTTTCTTCAGTACTGCACAAGACCGTGTCTCAAAGTGAATCATCATAAAATACACATTTTGTGATATGAACAACATAATTAACAGATGGGTCATAAAGACTCAGTGTCACATAAATCATTAGCTGTTTACAAAGCACACTAACAACTAACATCAACAAATATTTACTCAATACCTAGACCAACCTGTAGGTTATGGCTACACTTTTAGGCCTTAGTGCCCTCAATGATAAAAGGAAAGCTAGTTCCAGACCTTACAAATGAATACTAAATACTAGCTACATGACTTTGCAGAGAGCCAATAAAACAAATGTATAATTCTTTAAAAATACAACTTATGGGGCTAGGGCTGGGGCTCAGTGGTAGGGCACTTGCCTAGCATGTGTGAGGCACTGGGTTCAATTCTCAGCACCACATATAAATAAATAAAATAAAGGTCTATCAACAACTAAAAATATATATAATTCATTTACTTTCCTTCCTTCCCTCCCTCCTTCTCTCCCTCCTTTCATGGCCTTGCACTCGCTAGGCAAATGCTCTACCTGCAAGCTACAAGCCTTTTTATTTAATTCTGCAACAGTCCCACTAAGTTGCTGAAGCTGGACTCAAACTTGCATTCCTCCTCCCTCAGGCTCCAGAGGAGCTGGGATTACAGGAGCATACCCCACACCCAGCTACAACTTTCCTTTTCTAAAAAAATTCACCTTTTTTTTTCACCCCAACTAGCATGCTAAGAATAAAAACACTCTATGTAGGGCTGGGGATGTGGCTCAAGCGGTAGCGCGCTCGCCTGGCATGCGTGCGGCCCGGGTTTGATCCTCAGCACCACATACAAAGATGTTGTGTCCACTGAAAACTAAAAATAAATAAATAAATAAATAAATAAATAAATATCAAAAACTTCTCTCTCTCTTCTCTCTCTCAAAAAAAAAAAAAAAAAAAGACTCTAGTAAATGACCTAAATTGAACTAACTGATCATTGAAAAAATTTTTTTAAAAAAAACACTCTATGTACAATTAAACATGTTTCAAACTATAGAAGTCAGACTTTTCTTTGGCCAACTGATTTTCAACAAGAGTCTCAAAACAATTCAGTGGCAGTTAGGGGAGAATAGTTATTTGAACACAAGGGACAACAATCAAAAATGAGRTTGGATCTCTACTTCTAAGCATATGCAAAAACTTTCTCAAAATGGATCAAAGACCTAAATTGAAAAGCTAAATCTTTAAGATGTATAAGAAGAAAACATGGGGGTAAATCTTTGTAACCTTGGACTAGATATTGGTTTCTAGATACGATAAATAAAGCATAAACCGCCAAAGTAAAGGCTAAATCAGACTTCATCAAAATTAAAAATGTTTGTGCTTCAAGTCACTATCAAGCAAGTGAAGACAATTCCCAGAATATGAGAAAATATCTGCAAATAAAATCTAYCTGAAAAGGGTCTAGTAGCTCACACCTCAGTGATAAAAGATACATAAATAAAAATTTAAGAATCGAGATGTTTCTCCAAAGATAACGCAAATGGCCAACAAGCACTCGACATCATTAGTTATCAGAGATATGCAAACCAAAACCACACTGGGGACCGMAGGTGCAGCCCAGTGACTGGGCACTTGTCTGGCATGCATGAGGCCCTGGGTTCAATTCCCAGCACCCAAAACAGTCTAAAACTTCAGAAATTAAAATCACAATTAAATACCACTCTACATGTACTAGGAGGGACATAATCAAAAAGACAATCACCAATGTTGACAATAATGTAGAAAAAGCAGAATTTTCACACTTTGATGAGGAGGACATATAATAGCACAGCCATTTTGGAAAGCAGTTTGGCAGATCCTCACTAGAGTAAAACAGCTTGTTATCCAGCCACAAAAAGGAGTAGTACTGACACATGCCATAATGAGAACGAACTCCCAAGAAGGCTAAGTGAAAACACAAGATATGTTCTGTAGGATTCAGTTTATGTGAACTATATATAATATATAGATTCAGGAAGACAGAGCACAGATGGGTGGTTGTCTGGGCTGGGGAAGGAGAGAGACCATCTACTGTTTCTCTTTGGAGGAAGGGAAATAATTCTGTCACTCTACAGAGGTGGTGCCTGCACATCGTGTATATTCTAAATGTCACTGAATTGTTCACCTGAAAATAGTTTCTTTTAAGTTATTTGAATTTCACCCCAATAAATCAGGAGGAAAAAGGCTAAACAGAGACTTAACATATGATCCAACAATCCTACTTCCAAGTTTACACCCAAGAGAAATGGTTCACATAAAAATGTGAACAGAAATGTTCCCAGCAGCATTATTCATATTTATCAAGAGGCAGAAATAATCCAAATACCCACCAACTGATGAAGGAACAAAATGCGGTGTGACCACGCTGCAGAACCTTACCTGGTCATTAACAGAAATAAAGTACTGGTACACGTGCAGCATGGGTGAATCTAGAAGAYTTTCAAGGGGAAGAGGCTAGACATAGAAGGCCACAGATTCTAAGATTCTGTCTACATGAAATGTCCAGTCTAGGCAAACTTCTGGGGTCAAGCAGATTTATGGTTGCCAGAGTGTGAGGGAAAAGGGATAGGGAAGGACTATTAATGGAATAAGACTTCTTTCTCCAGTGAAATGTTCTGAAATTAGACACTGAGATGGTTGTAGCCTTGTAAATACACTAAAAACACCATACACTAAAAACTGCATATTTTTAAAGTACTAGGTATTTTTTTTTTTTTTTTTGGTACAAAGGATTGAACCCACAGGTGTTCTACCCATGAGCTACATCAACAACCCTTTTTGTTTTGAGATAGGGCCTCCACTCAGTTGCCCAGACTAGACTTGAACTTGTGATCCTCTTGCCTCAGCTTCCAAAGTAGCTGGGATTATAGGTGTGTGCCCCCACTAAAAAGGTGAATTTTGTGGTATGTTAATTATATCTCAAGTTTTAATGAAAAAAGAAACTTCAAGCTCTTTCTTTAGCATTTAGAAGGACATTGTGATTTTGATAACAAATCTAATGATCACATAAAAGCTATCCAAATAAACTGGAGCTGAGTTTTCTCTTTAAATAACATTTCCCGTTGTTTGGGTATTCAAAATTCACTCAAATAATAAAGGACAATTCGCAAGGTTTTAAGTATACTCACAGGGGCTGGGATGGAGCTCAGTGGTACAGCGCTTGGCTGGCATGCACGAGGACCTGGGTTCCACCCCAGCACGATGCACACAAAAGTATACTCAGGTTAAAAACAAACAAAAAGCAGATAAAAAGAAAATATATACCCAAACACTAACAATGGCTGTCTTTGAGGCAACTCCCCCTTTTAATTCTACCTTTCTGAGCACACATTTCTTTTATAAAA